TGATGTATGATATTGCTGTCTGTAAATGTAATATATATAAAAAGCTGAATTGAATACAGAATTCAAACATTGCTTGTATTTGGGTCAAATGCTGCTTTGGCTTAAATTCAAATCAAAACACAGGAACATGAAGGAAAACTAAGTTGTGTTTTTTTTACTTTAATTCTTCTCCTGGAAACTGTCTTAGCTGGTGTCAAACAGGAATGTGACGACTGTTGGGTAATAAACTAAATCTTTTACCTGGTTTTGCTCTCGTCTCCTTATCCTTAAAAATGAATTGTATTTTGTTTGTTTTCATGGAAAAAATACGTTCATATGTTAACTGTTAGAAGTTATGACGTGAAAATAAGTAATTATGCATACATACTGTACGTATATAATATTCACTGAAACAGGGCACTTAGCACCACCCGCAGGACAAAGGAAGGAGCTACATGATCAGTTGACGTTCACAGTAAACAGCAGTTATAAAAATAAATACTATGATAACTCTTGAGTCCGGAAAGGCTTCTTTAAAGTCCGATTGGACGAAACGCTGACGCCCACTGCCGTCGAGTGACGCACCCACGGCACAGTCCGCCCAGCCCCCGTTACTGCCTTTGATTGGTTCGCTGGAGGAATAAATAGACTTGATTTTTTTTATACGGTTGGTTGCGGTTGAAGGCCAGCCAATCAGAGATGAGTTGAGGGGCGGGACTTCTTCCACCAGTAAAACAACGTTGCTCGGTGTTCCACACGGTCTCGGCTCACGGAGAAACTCCAACATGGTTCTCGGTAAAGTAGCACGGAGTTTGACAACTCGTGTCCGTGGACTGGTTCAGGCGCCGGTCCTGAAGCGGACATATGCCGCAGTGACCGAGGCTCGAGCGCTGCTGGAGACCGAGCTGGAGTCAATTCGAGCCGCAGGGACGTGGAAGGCGGAGAGAATCATCACGTCCCAGCAGGGGCCGCAGATCAACGTGGACGGCAGTCGTGGCGGTGAGTTGAGTTTGGTTCGCGACACAACAGGTGTTCGTTTTCAGCTTCCTGTCGCGGAAACTCAGGAGAACTCTGTTCTTGGTGTTGGCAGAACATCGTTCTGTTTAGGACCAATCGTTGGAAGTAGTGTTCGTCTTCATCACAGAGAACATCACCGAGCTCCGTTTCTGCGCTGTCCACGTCAACCGTTTCTGGGCTTCAAAGTCGGCAATTCGTCGGTTAAAGTCGACGCTGACTTATTTGACTTTTATTTAACAAATTTTAGTCCTAAAAGTTCTTCCGTAACACGCGCTCTGGAGTCGACTCCACAGATGGAGCCTGATTGGCCCGTGGGCAGGGCACGGTCACCACTCACAGCTTAAAGCTGCCCCCTGCTGACTGTGACTGTGGTGATGGGTTAAAAGCAGAGGTCACATTTGGTTGGTTGGGTGCAGTGGTGCAGTGGTGTGCTGCGCTGCGTCACAATGTCAGGGAGTTCACTTTCCTAAGTCGGCAACATTTTCACTGGCTCAGAGCGTTTACTGGAAGTTTCTATGAATGTTTTTTTAAAAATCAGGAGGAAAAAGGAACCAGGTGTTTTGAGAATGAGGTCCAGTCCAGTCTGGACTGGGCTGGACTGGACTAGACTGGACCGGTGTGTAGCTGTAGCAGCAGGTCAGTGGTTCAGTCCCAACAACAGAACTTTTTTTTCCCCTGGATTTCTGTTTCAGGAAGTACTAACGTTTTTATTGAATGAACTCCAGACTGGAATGATGATGATGATGATGATGATGATGATGATGATGATGATGTCATAACTCTTTTCAGCCATCTTGAATTTCTGTGCTAACAACTACCTGGGCCTGTCCAGTCATCCAGAGGTGGTGCAGGCGGGGGTGGAGGCTTTGAGGAGTCACGGTGCTGGACTCAGCTCCGTCAGGTTCATCTGTGGGACGCAGGTTTGTCCTCAGTCACCGTCCACCACGTTGACACCAACTTCCTGCTGCTTCACACACATTCACCTCCAACTGTCAGTGGTGATAAAAATAGTTTTCCTGGAGAAGGAAAAGTTTTGGTTTTTTTCACTTCCCTCACGGTCTCCAGCAGCAGTTTGTCCCAGATTCAGTTTCCAGAATGTTCTGGAGGTTTAACCTCAGACAAACACGGTGGAACCGAGAACGGCGCTGGTCTAAAGACGGGTTCTCAGGGAACCACGGTTCTCCTTCATCTTCACCAAAACTACACTTTTAATTTAAATAAGTGACAAAAGTAGTGAGAACAGAAAGGTGGAGGAGATGATGATGTCATCGACCATCAAACACCAGTCATGAACACACACACACACACACACACACACACTCACTCTCTTTCATTGGCAGGATATTCACAAAACACTGGAGCAGAAGTTGGCCCAGTTCCACGAGCGTGAAGACTGCATCCTCTACGCCAGCTGCTTCGACGCCAACGCCGGCCTGTTTGAGGTGAGGTGTTCTTCAACGTGACACGGGAATGTGGTCGGCAGCGGCTTCAACTGTAGTCTGACCTCAGGTGCTGATGGGTCCAGAAGACGCGGTGTTGTCGGACGAGCTGAACCACGCCTCCATCATCGACGGAATCCGACTGTGTCGAGCCAAGAGGCTGCGCTACAGACACATGGACCTGGAGGACCTGGAGAACCGACTGAAAGAGGCTCAGGTGGGAGCTGCAGGAGAACCAACTAACGTGACGGCGTTCATGTGGCTGTCGTGACAGCAGCTCTCCTCTTCTCCTCCACAGTCGTCCCGTATGCGCCTGGTGGTGACAGACGGCGTCTTCTCCATGGACGGAGACGTGGCTCCTTTGAGACAAATCTGTGACCTGGCCGAACAGTACGGAGCCATGGTCTTCATAGACGAGTGTCACGCCACCGGCTTCCTCGGACCCCGGGGCCGGTGAGTGACATCTGGTTTGTTGTGACGCACTCTTGGTCCTGACACTGTTTGAATAATGACAGGAAATGGATTACATCTAAAACTAAAAAAAAAAACAACAAAAGGCCGGCAACCTTGGAGAGGTCAGTCCGTGAAAATCACTGGTCCGTGGAGCAGAAAAGGTTGGAGAACGCTGGTCTACGTCACAGTGTGGACACATTCTATGATGTTGTCGTCTAGATCCCAGTTGGAAACGCTCCTTGTTCTGTGTTGTCCCTTTGATGTTGTGGTTCTGCTCCCTCTGTCAGAGGAACAGATGAGCTGCTGGGGGTGATGGACAGGGTTCAGATCGTGAACTCCACCCTGGGGAAAGCACTGGGTGGAGCAGCAGGTAAAGCTCCAGCCTGGTGTGACCTTGTCACTGCTCTGTCCGTGGCTGACGTTTCTGATTGACTCACATCTGTCACTGTTCATGTTCAGGTGGCTACACCGTGGGCCCCAAACCTCTCATTGACCTCCTGAGGCAGCGTTCACGGCCGTACCTGTTCTCCAACTCCCTCCCTCCTCCGGTGGTGGGCTGTGCCACCCGGGCTGTGGACCTGCTGCTGGCCTCCAACCAGATAGCACAGAGTATGGCTGCCAAAACCATGAGGTCAGGGTTCGTGGAGCAGATGAACAGATGATGATGATGATGATGGTGGTGGTGATGATGATGATGGTGGTGGTGGTGAAGATGATGATAATGGTAATGATGGTGATGATGATAATGAAGATGATGATGGTGGTGGTGAAGATGATGATGGTGGTGGTGGTGAAGATGATGATAATGGTAATGATGGTGATGATGATAATGAAGATGATGATGGTGATGATGATGATGATGGTGGTGATGATGATGATGATGATGGTGGTG